TTTTTTGGAATAGTTTTAAATTTACAAAAAAAGTAGCAATATAAAGAGTTCCTATATACCCCTAATTCCATTTTGCTGCAAATGACGGAATTTCATTTTTATAGCTAAATAGTATTACACTGCATATGTATACCAATTCTCTTTTTCCATTCCCCTGATGATAGACATATTGGTTGACTCCATATTTTAGCTATTGTGAACAGTGCTGTTATAAACATGGAAGAGCATATGCCTCTTTGATGAAGCAATTTTATGTCCTTTAGATAAATACACAGTAGTGAGATTGCTGAATCATATGGAAGTTCTGTTTTAGTTTTGTAAAGAAAACTCCATACTGTTTTCAACAGTGGATGTGCTAATTTATATTCCCAGCAACAGTGTGTAAAAGTTCTCCCTTTTCCATACCCTTACAAGTATTTGTTACTCTGCCTTCTTGAGAATAGCCATTCTGACGAAGATAAAGTGATATCCCTTGGTGGTTTGTATTTGTAGTTCCCTGATGGGTACAGATATTGAGCATTATTTCCTTACATTTATTGGCCATTTGTATCTTCTCTGTTGGGAGCTGTCTATTCAGATCCTTTTTCCATGTATTAATTGGATTAATTGTTTTATTGTGTTGTTGAGGTTTTTGAGCACTGAGATAGTCTGGATATTAACCTTTTGTTGGATAAGCAACTTACAAATATCTCTCCCATTCCATTGGGTGTCTGTTTACTCTATTGTTTCCTTCACTGTGCAGTGGCTTTTGATTTTGATATTATCCCATTTGTGCAGTCTTGCTTTTGTTGTACATAATTTCAGGGTGTTATCATCACCTACACCAATGTTTCGAAGGATTCCCCCTGTTTTCTTCTAACAGTTTCATAGTTTCGGGTCTTACATTTTGCTCCTTGAATCATTGTAAATGGATTTTTGGATATTAAGAGGGGTACGTATCTACTTTCATTCTTCTACAGATATGTATCTAAGTTTGCCAGCACTATTCATTGCCAAGACTTTTCTTCAGTGTATGTTCTTTTCATCTTCATCAAATATCTTTGACAATGTGCACTTATATTTTGATGGCGATTATATTTAATCTGTAGATTACTTTCTGGGGAGTGATCCAGCATGTAGATTGTAGCATAGACAATCCAATGATATTAATTCTCATAAAACATGAGTTAGGAATATCTTTCTAATTTTTGTGTGTCCTCTATAATTTATTTCATCAACATTTTAATATTTTCATTGTAAAAATGTTAAATGTATTTAAAAATAGTTTATTCTTTGTGACTAATACAAATGGGATTTTTCTTAAATTCTCTTTAGTGAGTCATTATTGGTATAAAAATGCTACAGCTTTTCTTGCATTATTTGTAAGTTGTAACAGATCTATTGTGCAGTATCTATGGTTTTTCATGTAAAACATCATATTATCTACAAATAAGTGTATTTCTACTTCATCCTTCCCATCTCATTGTCTTTTATTTTTCTTTTCCCCCTTTTCTTGCAATTGCTAATACTTCCAATAGTGTACTGAATAAAAGTGAAATGCTTTCACCATTCCACCATGCCATATGATAATGGCTGTTGGTTTGTCATATATAACCTTTATAATGTTGAAGTTTATTCATTCTGTACATAATTTGTGGAGAGTTTTTAATCATGAAGGGATATTCAGTCTAATCAGGTGCTTTCTCTGCATCTGTCTTGATGACCATATTTTACATAGTTTCAAAAAAATAATGTTTATGTATTTGAAAGGTAGAGTCATGGGGGAGCGGAGTAGAGAGAGAGAGAGAGAGAGAGAGAGAGAGAGAATCTTCCGTCTGCTGGTTCATTCTCCAAATGGCCACAATGTCCAACAATGGGCCAGGCTGAAGCCAGGAACTTAATCTGGGTGTCCCACTTGGGTGGCAGGGGCCCAAGTACTTGAGCCATCTCCTGTTGCTTTCCAAGGTGCATTAGCATGGAGCTGGGTTGAAAGTGAAGCAACTAGAATATGAACCAACACCACATGGGATGTTCATGTTAACAGGCAGCAATTTAACCTGCTTTACCACAGCACAAGCCCTAGATAATATGATTTTTATTCTTAATTCTGTCGATGTAACTTATGACATTTATTGATTTGGCAATGCTGTACCAGCCTTACATCCAAGATCTTATCTTTTTGATGTAGTGTTGCATTCAGTTATCTAATATTTTGTGAGAATTTGTGCATCAATATTCATCAGGATGTTAGTATGTAATTTTCATCTTGTGCTGAGTCTATGGTTTTGGTATAGAGGGATGATAACCTCATCAAAAAGTGTTCATAAGGATAGGACTAAGAACCAAAGGGATCACATAAACAAGAATAGTGTCTGCAAATACTAGCTGATAGAATAAAAAAGGGAGAAAACGATCCAACATGGGAAGTGAGATACACAACAGACCCATAGAATGTCAGATGTCCTAAACAGAACTCTGGCCTCAGAATCAGCCCTTAAGGCATGCGGATCCGGCCGAAAAGCCCATGAGAGTATATCAGGCATGGAAAGCCAAGACACTCTGGAAAAAGAAAAAAAAAAAAAAACCTAAATGAAAGATCTCTGTCAGTGAGATCCCAGTGGAAAGAACGGGTCATCAAAGAAGGAGGTACCTTTCTCTGAAGGGAGGCGAGAACTTCCACTTTGACCATGGCCTTGTCTAAATATGATCAGAGTCAGTGAACTCAGGGGGCTTCCATAGCCTTGGCAGCTGATGACAAGAGCCTAGGGTGATTACTGAGGCCATAAACAAGAGTGTCAATTTGTTAAGTCAACAACAGGAGTCACTGTGCACTTACTCCTCATGTAGGATCTCTTTCCTTAGTGTGCTGTACATTGAGATTTAATGCTATAAGTAGTACTCAAACAGTATTTTTCACTTTATGTTTCTGTGTGAGAGCAAACTGTTGAAATCTTTACTTAATGTATGCTAAACTGATCTTCTGTATATAAAGAGAATCTAAAATGAATCTTGATGTGAAAGGAAGGAGAGAGGGAGTGGGAAAGGGGAGGGTTGCAGGTGGGAGGGATGTTATGGGGGGGAAGCCATTGTAATCCATTGCTGGACACCCGCCCGCGAGAGTAGTAAAGACACGATCGCTGCTTACTCGGTTCTCATGGAACTTTATTCATCCAGAGGCAAGGCGAAAGAAAAGAAGTCAAGCCTTCATCCTACACAATACTATCCCCATTATATACCCAAGGTTCCCCTAGCAGGACGCTCCCAGCCAATGGCAAGTCTGTTCACATGCCGTCCATGCAGGCACAGTCCAATCAAGTCGAAGGGCACATAGTGCCTCAGGTCGAAAGTTCATCTTGCTCCATCGAGGTTGTTTGTGTGTCTTCAGGACACCCTGTGGTTAGCACTTCCTTGACTTGTTTTTCTCAGCAGCCAGCACTTCCTTAACTTTTTTGCACAAGTTGTTACAACAGGCCATGCAAACAGAAAAGTGAGGAAGTTCCCACAGGTGGCCAGTCTGCAGTTCCCCACAATCCATAAGCTGTACTTTGGAAATTTATATTCATTAAATAAAAGTTAAAAAAAGTGTTTGGTAGAGTTCCATGTTTATCAATATTTTGGAATAGTTTGAAAACTATTGGATTTATTTATTTTTTAATATTTATTTATTTACTTGAAAGGTAGAGGCAGAGAGAAAAAGAGAAAGAGAGGGAGGGGTCTTCCATAAGTTGGTTCACTCCCCAGATCCCACAACTGCCGGAGCTGCGCCGATCCAAAGTCAGGAGCTAGGAGCTTCTTCTGGGTCTTCCATGAAGGTGAACGTGCCCAAGAACTTGAGCCATCTTCTACTGCTTAGCTAGGGCATAGCAGAGAGCTGGATCGGAAGTGGAGCAGCCAGGACTTGAACTGGCACCCATATGGGATACCAGCATTGCAGGCAGCAGCTTTACCCAGTATGCCACAGCACCAGCCCCATATTTCTTCTTTAAACAGCTTACAAAATTAAGATATAAAGTCATGAGGTTCTGATTTTACTTTGATATTAGACTTCAATTACCTCTTCAATTTCATGGCTTGTTGTGGTTTTATTTAGGATTTCTATATCTTTTATTTAATTTAGATAGGTTGTATATATTCAGGAATTTATCTATTTCTTTGAGATTTTACGATTTGTTAGATTATATGTCTTCAAAGTAGTTTCTTAAGATTCATTGTATTTTTGTAGTATCGATTGTAATGTCTCTTTTTTCTTTTTTTTTTTCCACACCACAGATGTGTTTTATTGAAAACACACAAAAAAACACCCTCTAATCAGAAAGTCTGATTAAATTCAGTATTAACTCGAGCTCTTAAAAACCTTTTGGGAAAGCCAACAGGGTACATGTGAAGAAGCAGGCCACTGCTGGCGCGTCTTTGGTGGACAAGGAAGTTGCATACTTGTACAAGCTGCCCTCATGATTATCAAGCCCAAGTTTTGTTTTCCAAAAGTCAGTTTCAAGAATTACCAAAGGACACAGCCAATCCAAATACGAGAAGAAACGTGAATAATTTACGAAACAAGCCTTTCAACCTAGAAAATAAAAACGGGAGGAGGGGCGCGGAAGGGTAACACACGCAGGATGAGGGCTGACAGCAAACAGAGCAACCCTACCCGCCTCCCCAGGGTCTGACCAGGCCACAGAGACAGCTCAGGCGCACCAACGTGTAGTCTTCTTCCCATCCAATTTGGTTCTCTTTACACAAATCTGGTGATCAATCAACATGTACAGAAATGTGGGTGATTGTTTTTAGACTTAATTGCCATGACTTCCTAAATTTCGCCTTTGCCCTAATTCTCTGCAGCAGCACTTTTCCTTTGGTTTGACCAGCTGAACTCAAAAGGTTTGGAACCTAAAATGAGATCAACTCTTACTGGAATAGCATTTAGGAAATGCAATCCAAGAAAAGGCAAATTTTCAACTGAAGTGGCTTGACAGAGTCGGGCATCCATTATCAGTGTGACAGGGTCTCCCAAGCTAATCACGAGGTCACTGGGTTCTCTGGGCTGGAGCACACGACCCAGCGGGACACTGGAATGCTCCCCGGTGAGGTTCTGTAGAGCCATACGCGCAAACATCCACCCACTTGAGCCTTGAATAAATACACAGCATCATTTTAAACCATCTCGGGAGAATAAATAAAAACATTGCATTTTCTGCTGGCCTGCTTGCTTCCTGAGTTGGCTTGGAGTGCTTCGACCAGCGCGCAGGTTCAACAGTTAATTGGTGGCCACTCCCCGCTCTTTAGACTTCAGCACTTCCTGCTCTGCAGACCTCAGTACTTTTTTTGCAGCAATAATGATGTTCTTCATTAGCATGGCCACAGTCATGGGACCAACACCCCCAGGGACTGGGGTGATGTAACTGGCTTTCTTCTTGACGCCTTCAAAATCCACATCTCCAACTAACTTGGGCTTTGCGGTTACGGGGTCTTGAACTCTGTTTATTCCCACGTCAATCACTGCTGCTCCCTCCTTAATCATATCTGCGGTGATGAGGTTCGGGATGCCTGCAGCAGATACGACAATATCTGCACGAATGGTGTGCTTCTTCAGCTGCTCTTAGGGAGTGTACCGGTGAGATATTGTAACAGTGGCATCGCCGCCAGGCCGTTCGTGTGCCCCGTCGGTGTGCAGCAGCATTGCAATGGGCATGCCCACGTTTTTCGACCTTCCAGCCACGACCACATTCTTCCCCAGGGTTGGGATGCCCGTTCGCTTAATTATTTCCCACACTCCCCAGGGGGTGGCAGGTAACATGGTCCAGACACATGCGCCCTACGTTGATCACATGGAAGCCATCCACGTCCTTGTCGGGGGACACGGCGTTACAGACCTTCCTCTCGTCGATGTGCTCTGGGAGAGGCAGCTGAACCAGGAGGCAGTCTACATTGTCGTCGTTATGGAGCTTGTTGATTAAGTTCAACAGTTCTTCCTCTGAGATTGAAGCTGGCTTCACAATTGTCTCGCTGTTGATTCCCACGTCGGCAGCTGCCCTGGTTTTGTTGAGGACGTAGGAGTGGCTGGCAGGATTCTCGCCCACCAGGACCACGCTCAGGTGTGGCCGCTTGTTGCCCGAGGCCACCCACTCTTCCACCTCCTGCCACACTTCCTGCTTGATCTGCTGGGCCAGCTTCGTCCCAGAAATGACCACAGCTTCATTTGGAACTGCCGCGAGGTGGAAGGGGCGATGGCGGAGGTGGCGGCTCTGCGCGGGCCGGAGCAGCCGGGCGGCCAGCACGCACCAGAGAGAACCCGCAGCCATGGCCTGCACCGGTGCCTGCGCCGGGAGGACGTAATGTCTCTTTTTTCATCTCTAATTCCATATATTTGAATTTTCCTCTCATTTTATATTTGTTAAATTAGTTAAGGTTTGCCTATTTTGTTTTACTTCTTTGAAATTTGTTTCGTTTTGCTGATCATTTGTATTATTTTTTAAATTTCATTTTCATTTATTTCTGCTCTATTATTTCTCACATTTTGATAACTTTGGGTTTTGTTTGTTCTTAGTTTTCTAAATCTTTGATGTTTCATTAGGTTGTACATACATTTTTTATATAAAAGCAACAATGTCATATATATATGTATGTATATAATTTAAGAAGGTAATGATACTTCCTATCCTCTCCTCCTTCCCTCTCTTGTTACCACTTTCCCTCCTCCTTCCTTTCTTATGTTTCACTTAATTTTTTCAGCTTTCAATTTACTTTATATTCACAAGTTTAATGCTCCACTAAATAAAGAATTCAACAAGTAGTAAGTAGAAAAACTACTGTTCCTCAATAGTAAGTAGAAAAACTACTGTTCCTCAAAAGTGTAGACAGTGTTGTAAATATTATATACCACAAATCATAGGAAATATGATATTTACATTTTGGGGACTGGCTTATTTTACTTATTTAGGATCATTTTTTTTTAATGTAAGCACTTACCACCATTAACATTCCTCTTAATACTGCTTCGTTGTATCCTACAAGTTTTGATGTTATATCTTCAATTCCATTTGTTTCAAGAACTGCTTTGATTTCCTTTTAAATTTATTTAATGAATTATTTGTAACTCAGTAGCATGTTATCTAATTTCCATGCATTTGTAATTGTTCTATTCTTTCTATTCTTGGTTTCTAGCTTTATTTCTTTATGGTCTAAGAAGAAACATGGTGTGATTTCAATCTTTTAAAATTTACTGAGACTTTATTTGTGGTTTAATATTTGGTCTATCCTAGAAAATGCTCCATGTACTTATGAGAAGAGCTGTATTCCATAGCTGTTGTATGAAGTACTCTGTAAACATCTGTAAGGTCCATTTGCTCTATACTGTTTTAAATCTGATGTGTCTGTTGATTTCTGTCTGGATGCTCTGTCCACTGATAATGGTGGGGTGTTGAAGTCCTCCACTATTATTAAATGGGAATTCATCTCTCCCTTTAGCTCTAATAATGTTTCCTGTATGTATCTGGTTGGTCTTGTGTTGGGTGTACATACATTTGTGAATGTTACATCCTCTTGCTAAAATGTTCCTTTTGTCAATATATAATGTCCTTCTTTATCTTTTTAATATCTTTTTAATTTAATCTGTTTTCTCTGATATGAATGTAGATACTCCTGCTTTTTCTTTATGTACCATAATGTCAGCCTTAGCCATCCAATATCTTTTGATTTGGACATTTAGTTAATTTACATTCAAAGTTAATATTGATATATAAGAACTAACTCCTGTACTTATGTTGATTAATTACTGGTTGTATCTCTTCTGTCAGTGAATTTGGTACTGCCATGTGTTTACAAGATTCTTACTTCTAACACAGAACTCCCTTTAAGATTTCTTGTAAGGCTGGTCTGGTGGTGATTAATTCTTTCAGTTTTTATTTGTCCAGAAAATGTTTTATTCTTCTTTTACTTCCAAAGCATAGCTTCCCTGAAGGTAGTCTTAGTTGGAAGTATTTTTCTTTTAAGGCCTTGAATATATCATCCCATTCTTTTGTGGCCTATTGGAGTCTGCTGTTAGTCTAATTGGTTTTCCTTTATAGGTAACTTGGGATTTGTTTATTACTATCTTTGGGATTCTCTCTTTTTCCTTAACTTTTGACAATTTGACTATAATATATCACAGCGAAGGAGTTTTGGGATGAGTCTGGCTGTAGACCATTGAGCTTTCAATGTGTAGATGTCCATATCTCCTTCAAAACTTGGGAAATTTTCAACTCATTTCCTTCAGTAGGTTCTAATGATATTATACTTCTCTTCTTATTCAGATGTCCCTGTAATAATATGATTGTTTGTTTAATTGTATCCCATATGTCACATGAGCTTTCTTCACACTTTCTAAATTATTTTCTCATTGTTTTTGTCAGACTAACATATTTCAGAAATCTTGTCCTCCAGCTCAGAAATTTTTTCTTCTACTTGGTCACTTCTGTTGTTGACATTCTCATTTGTATTTGTTGATTTCACTGATCTAAGTAATTAGCCCCCAAATTTCTGTTTGTTTCTTTTTAAAGCTTTTTTTCTACTTATTAAAATCTCCATCCATTTCATCTTTTGCTTTTCCATTTATTTAAAGTGTCTAAATTCTCATTCATCTCACCGAGTTTATTTAGGGTCATTATATTGAAATTTTTCAGGTATTTTACATATTTAATTCATATCAGGATATATTCCTGGAGAACTATTGTGTTATTTTAGAGGTCTCATCTTCCTTTCTTCATGCTGCATTGACTTCTGTGCAGATGCTAGATGAGTGTCTTTTTTTATGGAGTAAGTTTCATTGGGAGATCTCGTTATTTCAGATGGATTGTTGGGTATCACCCAGTTTGTCCCATTGGCTTTGTTTTTTGGTGAATCCAGAAATGCAACATGAGAGTAATTTCTTCAGCTGGAATCAACATCAACACTGTTTACAGATGCCTTAATTGTCTAATCTGCAGCAGCGTTTGGAGGCAGTAGTATCCCCTTAAAGTGAATGTGTGTTTCCAAAGGCAGGCATCTTTAGTCCCTAGAGAGTTGTCGTTTATTACACTAGGGTTTGTGTTGATTGAAGCCATGTTTCTGGTGCTGTGAGACATAGAGTGATGTCCGCTTGTCACAACAGGCAAACCTGAGAGATGCCTGGACTCGTGGCTCTAATTGCTATTGCCCTCTGACTTTGTGATATGGATATGACTTTCCTAGGGTGTTGCTGCATAAATGTGACTAATGTTTCAACTTATAATACAAAGAGCTCTAGTTGCAGCACTGGGCGATGTTACACTGATCTTGCCTCTGTCACATATGACAAACGCAGTTTATCCTGAGGTTTGTGCCCCGGATCATGCGGATCTGGAGCATTGGAGTGCACATTGGTTCTTCCTTCAGGATATGCTGCAGTGACTGAGGAATGTAATACTGATGGTTATAGTTCTGGAGCTTCAGTATACAGTAGGATCCTTAACAGATCTCACAGGATGAGTGCTGATTATGCTGGGATGGAGAATTGGCAGTCAGCAGCCTGAAGCAAATATGTGAAGCTAGAGCCCTCTGGTTCACACACAAGAGTGCAAGCTACTCCAGGAATTGTAGTAAAAGCAGTGACAGTCCTAGAGCTTTGGAGCTTACAGGCGACTGTCCCTGGTTCCCATGAGGCATGAAGAATAATAATGCTGGGACTTGGGCTCTGGCCTCATAGCACACTGTGACGAGACCTGCGGAAGAGCCTGCCTCAGAAATGATCCTCTGATATTGCGGATGGACTGCAGGATTCACAGAATTGGGTCTCTACCCTGGAAAATGTCTTTGCTGCATCTGGAACTTCTGATAAAAATAGAGCTGCTTACCCTCCCTCTCCTAAGACAAGTGGCATTTAGCAGCTTCTCAGCGCAAGCTTGGTTCTGGCTCTTTGGGTCCCAAGGGAGTCATTGTGTATTCTTTATTTATTTATTTATTTATTTTTTTGGATCAAAGTAATTGATTGAGACTTAGTTAACCCTCTAGGTTTAAGTTTCTGTTTTTTTTTTTTTTTTAAACTTTTATTTAATGAATATAAATTTCCAAAGTACAGCTTATGGATTTCAATGTCCCCACCCCCCCCATAACTTCCCTCCCACCCGCAACCCTCCCTTTCCCACTCCCTCTCCCCTTCCTTTCACATCAAGATTCATTTTCAATTATTTTATATACAGAAGATCAGTTTAGCATATATTAAGTAAAGATTTCAACAGTTTGCACCCACATAGAGACACAAAGTGAAAAACACTGAGTACTAGTTATAGCATTAAATCACAATGTACAGCACATTAAGGACAGAGATCCTACATGAGGAGTAAGTGCACAGTGACGCCTTTTGTTGACTTAACAAATTGACACTCTTGTTTATGGCATCAGTAATCACCCTAGGCTCTTGTCATGAGTTGCCAAGGCTATGGAAGCCTTTTGAGTTCGCCGACTCTGATCATATGTAGACAAGGTCGTAGTCAAAGTTGAAGTTCTCTCCTCCCTTCAGAGAAAGGTACCTCCTTCTTTGATGACCTGTTCTTTTCACTGGGATCTCACTCGCGGAGATCTTTCATTTAGGTTTTTTGTTTTTGTTGTTGTTGTTTTGTTTTTTTTTGCCAGAGTGTCTTGGCTTTCCATGCCTGAAATACTCTCATGGGCTTTTCAGCCAGACCCACATGCCTTAAGGGCTGATTCTGAGGCCAGAGTGCTGTTTAGGACATCTGCCATTCTATGGGTCTACTGTGTATCCCGCTTCCCATGTTGTATCATTCTCTCCCTTTTTTATTCTATCAGCTAGTATTTGCAGACACTATTCTTGTTTATGTGATCCCTTTGGCTCTTAGTCCTATCATTATGATCAATTGTGAACAGAAATTGATCACTGGGACTAGTGAGATGGCATTGGTACATGCCACCTTGATGGGATTGAATTGGAATCCCCTGGTATGTTTCTAACTCTACCTTTTGAGGTAAGTCAGCTTGAGCATGTCCCGAATTGCGCATCTCTTCCCTCTCTTACTCCTGCTCTTATATTTAACAGCTATCACTTTTCAGTTAAGTTTTAACACTTGAGAATAACTGTGTATTGATTACAGTATTCAACCAAAAGTATTAAGTAGAACAAATAAACAAAAAAATACTAAGTGGGATAACGTATTAAGTTGTTCATCAACAGTCAGGGCAAGGGCTGATCAAGTCCCCATTTCTCATAGTGTTCATTTCACTTTTACAGGTTTCCTTTTTGGTGCTCAGTTGGTTGTCACCGATCAGGGAGGACATATGGTATTTCTCCCTTTGGGACTGGCTAATTTCACTCAG